TTTTTTGGAAAGATAGATGATACTAGCAATAACAACTACACATCTACACTAAGGCAGGAATGTAAACCATGGTGTACAAAAACAAAGAATTCCTAGTAAAAAGAGACTTCCAACTAGTCTAGAGTACTGCACTACAATTATGATCATTTTATTCATACCATTAATTTATAAGTAAATATAATTATATTTTTTTCAAATGCAATAATGTAGAATTCCACCCTGTTCAAGGATGTCTATGGCATATTCTTAATTCATATTCTTTTTTTTTTTGTAAATTTTGTTTTATTTTTTACACAAACACACATACAAACATACAATGTATTTTTGCTGAACAGAGTATTCAGCCGGTTAACAAATTTAAACAATTTTTAGTCTTTTCAACTAAAATTACAATTTCTATACCTCCTTTTTTGCCATAACATTTATTTTCATCTATTTTGTACCAACATTACCCTTCATTTTCATCTCTTAATTCATATTCTTTGATCACAGGCGATACTAGCTGCAAATGATGCAGCTGAGCTAACCAGATAATTCTACTTATAATTTGTTTCTGGCTATATATAAAATGGGAACTATTTCTTTTCAAACAAGATAATCAGTGATGGGTTTTTTCTTTCTATTTACTAGTGTATATGCATGATGTCAGGTGTATTTAATATTAAATAGGTAGCTTTCCATGGGAAATTTATTTAAGACATTATCTGCTATGTTTGCAGCATTGTAAGTTTAATTCCTCTAGTACTGATTGTTGACTATTTAAACCAATAAAAATATATTTAGTTATCATTGTTCTTTTTTAATAAATCAATTTATTAGGTATTTATGAAAGAATGAGCTACCTTTAAAGAGGAGGGAGCTGATTTCGCTAATCACATATCGTACACTATTGGCCTTGGAATATAGAAATTATTTCATTTTAAAAAACTTTTTTGTTTCCCTGATATGTACCTACACTATGGGAAGCCTAGCCACTAGAGCCAATACATTTGTATGTATGTATGTATGTATGTATGTATGTATGTATGTATGTATGTATATATGAATGAATGAATGAATGAATGAATGAATGAATGAATGAAAGAAACAATCTAGCCCACTCATTGGTAAATCATTTTAAAAAATAAGAAGAAAAAAAGGGTTATTGAACCTTTGTAGATTTAGTGAAAATATATAATAATGTGAATAGGCTTGAGTTGTAGAATGTCACGCACCAATGCAGAGTTAAAAGTTGGTTGCTGGATATGATAATATAATATCAGTTATTTTACCCTCTTTTAAAATTGGGTAAATAACTTCACAAATATCTTGCTTAACATAACAAAAATGTTGGGCTCAATTGCAGTCCTGAGTCAATTGTAGGAAGGCCCTCCTCTCCCCAGAATAAAATATTCCACAGAATAACAAAAGAAGCAGAATAGAATATTTTCCCTAAGAAAAATCTCCTTAACAAAGGCAAAAAGGAGCTCCAGCCTTTCCTCCACTAAAACAGCCTGCAGCAAAGCTTAAGGAAACTAAGTTTCATTAATTAAAACAATGTATACACTGTAAAACCAAACTTGGCCAAAGACATCTCCAAATAGATGGCAGAATAGACCAGGAGCTGAAATTTACTATGCAAAAGAGATTAAGTTATGAGGGAAGGGGAAGTAAGATTTAAATTTTTCCTTTGCCCTTAAGGTGAGTCATGACCCCACATGCCACAATAGACAATTAAACTTAATTGCAAGGACAATTAAAGTATTATATCCAGTCTAAAGAACATAACAGAACATAAAAAAAAATATTTTCATACATATATCAACACACCAATAACAAAGAACTCAGAGACATATAAAAACTTATTATACAACCCCAATTTGCTAGCTGCCCCAGAAATGCTTGCTGTTGTCACTGCTGTTACTGGGCCAATAAACTTCCTTTCCAATTGCAGCCTGCCTCCAACTTATTTTTTCCTTTGCCTGCATCTCTATCCTGGCTTGAAATAAGACATGGACCAGATTTAACTTCCAATACAATGATTACCTATATGCAATGTATGCAATATTTTAAATTCATTCAATAATAGCAGTATTATTGTATAATTATTTTACATGTTTTAAAATAAGAAAAAAATGTGCCAGTAGTATAGCTCTCTAGAAATCACATATGATACTATTATTCTGTTTTATGTCGAGTAAGGTAAAGGTAAAGGTTCTTTTGCACATATGTCCTAGTTGTTCCTGACTCTAGGGGGCGGTGCTCATCTCCGTTTCTAAGCCGAAGAGCCAGCGCTGTCCGAAGATGTCTCCATGGCCATGTGGCCGGCATGACTAAATGCCAAAGGCGCACAGAATGCTGTTACCTTCCCACCAAAGGTAGTCCCTATTTTTCTACTTGCATTTTTACGTGCTTTCGAACTGCTAAGTTGGCAGAAGCTGGCACAAGTAATGGGAGCTCACCCCGTTATTTGACACTAGGGATTCAAATCGCTGAACTGCTGACCTTTCGATCGACAAGCTCAGTGTCTTAGCAAATGAGCCACCGCATCCCTATAACTCTCTAGAGATCACATATGATGCTATTATTCTGTCTTATATAGAGTACTCTACAATATTTTCATAAATGACACTAAGCTGGCAGGAGTAACCAACACCCCAGAAGACAAGTTCAGGATCCAAAAGGATCTTGACAGATTTGAACAATGGGCCCTACCCGATAACATGAAATTTAATGTGGAAAAAAGCAAGATTTTACATTTAGGCAAAAAAAAATCAAAGGGACAAATACAGATTAGGTGAAAGAGTAACTGTGAGGAGACCTTGGAGTTCTAGTGGATGATCATTTAAATATGAGGCAGCAGTGTCTTGCTGCAGCCAAAAAAGCTAATACAATCCTTGATTGCATAAACGGAGGCATAGAATCAAAAACACGTGAAGTATTAGTACCGCTTTATATAAAACCTTAGTAAGACCACACCTGGAATACTGCATCCGATTTTGGTCACTTTTGGTAAAAAAAGATGTTGAGTCTTTGGAAAAAGGGCAGAGAAGAGGAACTAAGCTGATTAAAGGCCAAGAGACTAAAACATACGAAGAGGTTGCAGGAATTAGGTATGACTAGTCTAGAGAAAAGAAAGACTAGGGATGACATGATAGCAGTATTCCAGTATTTGAGGGGCTGCCACAAAGAAGACGGGGGATCAACTTATTTTCTAAACCACCAGAAGGCAAGCAAAAAACAGTGGATGGAAACTAATCAAGGAGAGAAGCAACCTAGAATTAAGGAGAAACTTCTTAACAGTGAGGACAATTAACCAGTGGAACAGGTTGTCTTCAGAAGTTGTGAGTGCTTCAACATTGAAAACTTTTAAGAAGAGACTGGACAGCCACTTGTATGAAATGGTATAGGGCCACAGGTGGCATATGTGCCACAGGTGGCATACGGAGCCATACTGGTGGGCACACGAGCGTTGCCCTAGCTCAGCTCCGGCCGGCATGCGCATGCCAGCCAGCTGATTTTCGGGCCTTCCTGGCCCATCGGAGGTCGGGAAACAGGCTGTTTCCAGCCTCTGGAGGGCCTCCAGGGGAGGAAAGACCTGTTTTTTGCTCTCCCCAGGCTCCAGAGGCTTTCTAGGTCCCACCGGAAATCAGCAAACAGACTGTTTCTGGCCTCCAGAGGGCCTCCGGGGGGGGGGAGAGGCCGTTTTCGCCCTCCCTAGGCTCCAAGAAAGCCTCGAGCCTGGGGAGGGCGAAAAATGGGCCTACTGGGCCCACTATGCCATCGCATGCCAAAAGTGGGGAAGCTCGGTGGGGTCATGTGGGCATGCGCAGGGGGACGGGGTGCATTGAATTATGGGTGTGGGCACACGCACATGTGAGCCCCCCCTCCCAACTTTTGGCACACGGCGGCAAAAAGGTTAGCCATCACTGGTATAGGATCTCTTGCTTGAGCAGGGGTTCGGCTAGAAGACCTCCAAGGTCCCTTCTAGCTCTATTCTGGTTAATAATTCTGACTTGATTCTGTAGAGATCTGCAGCTGGGCCAAATAGGGTGGGGGACCTTTCCTGTGTCTCTCAGAAATCTCAGCAGAATTTAGTAGCATCAATCATAATCATAATCATGCTTATTTTGTCAATATATAATACAATATATAATAATATAATATACCAAGACAAATTCCTTGTGTGTCCAATCACACTTGGCCAATAAAAAAAAAAATTCTATATTGTCATATATAAGATAACAGGTAAAAGTATAAACATAATTTGAATACATGAAAAGAGTAAGTAAAAAGGAATATTAGGACAGGGACGGTAGGCTTACTTTAAAATCTTACTTTTCAATTTAAAAAATTAAAAAAGCTTTGAGTTTAAAATCTTACTTTGGTAAGATTTTGGACCACCTGCAAGGGGCCCAGGAACAGGGGATCAAGAGCACCCTTTGATTCTTTCTGTTCCTTTTTGGGTGGGCAATTCTAGTTGGCATTGATGGGGAAGGGGAGATCAAGCCCTTAAGCACTGTGACACGAAGCGCCCTGTAGTTGCTGAGATAGTTTGCTGAGATTGGGAAACACTGTTCCAGAGCATCTGTAAAATTCTCAAATAAAGAAACATCCAAATAAATCTCCGGCTGAGCCTCTTCTGAACTGTTAGTCAAGACTTGTTTAATTTATCTTGGGGCTTCCCCTGCGTCTTCCCTCCCGGGCAACTCAGATCCTGAATGCAGATTAACCAGTGCATGGCTGAAACTGCTGTCCTTTAAGAGACCACGTGTGGCCTTACTTGGGACAGCAGAAACGTTACGTTTTTCTGCCCGTTTTAAAGAGTGGGACACGCTGTTGGCCGAGGGAGCCAAGGAAAACGGCAGAATCGGCGCCACCCGAAAAGGAACTCGGAAGCGCTCAAAAGGTGCTACTCTTTAAAGAGGTGGACAGTCTATAAGGCGTCCCGTGACAGGGAAGGATAGAGCCGCCGAGTGCCCAGGCGGAAGAGCGGCCGGTAGTCGCTTCCGCAAGAGGCGGGGCCGAGTTGAGCGCTCTTCGGAGTCCTACTTCCGTGAAGGATTTGATTGCCATGGCGGAGGATCAGCCTGTTTGTAGCTTCCTCTTCAAAAAGCGTCGCTCCGCGCCCGGAAGGGCTCAACGTAAAAGGCCGAGCAGCGACCAGGATGCCGGTGAGAAGCCACAGCCCGTCGCTGCATTCATTAACCAATTTCGTTGTATATACCAGGGTCTCCAACCCTGGCCACTTTAAGCTTGGCGGACTTCAACTCCCAGAATTCCCGAGCAAAGCAAAGCTGGCTGGGGAATTCTGGGAGTTGAAGTCCGCCAGCCTTAAAGTGACCAGGGTTGGAGACCCCTGGTATATATGATGTACAATGACAATAAAGGCTATACTACTAACAGTCTTCAAATATATTTGCCGCGGGATGGTGACACTGCGGGTGGACCGCTCTCAGCTTGTGCCCTGAAATCTCATACGAAAGCCACGGATCCTGAACAAATGGACTGGGAGTTTATGTCCTCTTTTCCATGACAACCCGGAACGCATGTCTCTTTCATAGAAAAAGAAGCAGCTTCCCCGCTGGATCTTCTTGCCAAGGATGTAGCTCGTCCTACAATGTGCAAAGCAAACATGTAGTTTTCTTTCATCCCTGCCATTGCGCTTTTATTAGTTGGTGCTTCGAGTAAGAGTGGATTCTGTGGCGAATATTGTTAGGATTAGAGATCCCAAGCCTTAGCAGTTACTTTTAAACTACTTTTAAAAGTTAAACTACTTAAACTTTTAAAATTTGAGTAAATTAGTAAAAGATACCATAGCTCCATATGGAGATGTGCATTTTATTGTTCTCATTTGCCTTAAATTTCTCTAAAGAAAGTGAACAATTATTATTTGAAGGAGAGGTAACGTTAGTTGTCTTTCATGAGAACAGAGCAAAAGTACAGTCTCAGGTATTGGAAAAAAATTGTTTGGCTTTGTTTATATGAATTTGAATTTGTTATAACTGAATATAAGGATTTTTTGGCTAAGAGGCAGCTGTATTCCCTGCTCAATGTATTGTTTTCCAATGCTGTATGATTTCCATCTGCTTAAAGGTAGCAGCAGTGATGAAGGCAGCACTGTAGTCAGGAAGGAGAGACGAAAGGAAGTTTCCAACCCCATGATTCAGAAGGTGATGTATACTGCGCATCAATTCTCTCAAGTATATATAGATTGCCTCTTGTATATTTATTGATTTGATAGTCTCATTGACTCTCATCTTCCAGACGAAGAAAAGTATGAAAACAAAGACTTCCTATGGGTCAAGCAGTAGTGATGATGATAACAAACCTGAAGGAATTGGAATTGCATATAAATCAACACGATCTGCGGTATGAATATTCTTAAATCAGTGTCCGCTATAGTATATTAGATGATTTCTGATAGATTGGTAAGGGATTTGTTTCTCAGCAATTAAACAATTACAAGAAAACTTGGGTTAGTGTTAATGGGGTTTCACAAGATCTTTGCCAATATCTGGTAGCCATTTTTAAAATTTTGTAACATAACTTGGATGATACATACTTGTACAAAATGAGATTGCTGTTTGGTTTCATCGCCTGAATCAAAGGCATCTCATTTTTCTCTTAACTGCTATTAGAATTTTATTAAAAAGAGCTAAATTATGAAACCCTGAAATTTAGCCATTCATCTGCTAGAATTTATTTATTTATTATTTATTTATTTATTGAATTTGTATACCGCCCTACTCCCGAAGGACTCAGGGCGGTGAACAGCCAAATAAAATACATATAATACAAATGTTAAAAACATTAAAATACAATTAAATAATTGGCCCGGAAAACGAAATTTAAAACACCCCAAATTCATAAGACAAATTTAAAATTTAAAAATTTTAAAAAACAGAAAAGAGAGGTTAGGCCAGGCCGGCCTGCTGGAAAAGAGATGTTTTGATGGCAGGGCGGAAAGCGCGCAGGTCCAGGATCCTCCGTATCTCCGGGGGGAGTTCGTTCCATATGGCTTTCAGCTTTTTGGTAATAAATGTAATTATGTTAATAAAAACTGAGGTTCATTTTCCTTTCAGCAGTACTAAGTTTTCATATTACAGAAACCTGTGGGTCCAGAGGACATGGGTGCAACAGCTGTATATGAATTGGACACAGAGAAGGACAAAGATGCCCAAGCCATTTTTGAACGCAGCCAGCAAATCCAGAAGGTAGGTATCTAGACAATTGTCTCCATTTTTTTTTTAAGTCTTTATGTAATATTGACAAGAAAGCAAAGGGTAGAAATGTCATACTGGTTATCTATGTTGATGTTTAATATTTCTTCTTCTTCTGCTTCAAAGTCTACTACCAGGATTTTCAAATGATTTGTATCATGTCTAGCATCTCTTTAATCTTATTTGTACTTTTATTTTTGTTTCCATTTCTCACGATGTTTCTGCTGCTGTTCCAATTTTATCTGGTATCTGTTTTCAGTCTCGTGTGGAGGCCTGAAAGAGATTAGTTTCCTTTAATGAGCAGCATAGCAGAGAGATCTCTGGACTTGCAGAAAATAGACTGCTGCTTCTTAAGCATTTTGAAGCATGCACAGTTCATTTATTTATGATTGATTTAATTTGTATGGCCACTCATCTCACCTATAAGATTTTGAGTCGCTCACAACACTTAGTACAGTGATGGCGAACCTTTTTGCTGTCGCGTGCCAAAAGTGGGGGGGCACAAGGGGGTCGGGCATGTGCGTGCCCAGACCCATAATGCAATGCTACCCCGCACACTCCGTCCCTGCACGTGACCTCCGCACACTCCCCTTGCCCCCATGCATGCATGCGTGACCCTACTCCCACCATGCATGCACGCATGACCCACCGTGCATGTGCACCACACTCCCCGCTGCCCGTTTTGGAGGCCTGGCAAGCCTCCCTGAAGCCTCCTGCGACCAAAAATGGGCTGCGGGGATGGTATCACTGGAGCCCGGAAGTATCAATGAAGTCCCCCCTCAGCCCGCCACCAAGAACAAACCAGCGCAGCCCCCCACCCCTTCTACCAAGAGAGCGTGCCCACTTCCGAGCTGGCGTGTCTCTTACCCTGGCACTGGACAAATGTTCCTTCGGCACGGACTCCGCTCCTGTGGCAGGGTGAGAACCGCTGCGTAGCCCCAGGAAAGTAGCAGGCGCATCACTGTTTGTTCTCTGTGGCTGGGAGGGGGGGGCAGTTGTCCTCCAGAATCCTGGGCGAAAGCGGCAGGATGAGAACCGCTGCACTGCCCCAGGAATGTAGCAGGGGCATCACTGCTTGTTCTTGGTAGCTGGCAAGGGGTGTGTGGCGGTTCTCACTCTGCCACTTATGGCCAGGATTCTGGAGAACTGCCGCGCCCACCATGCCTGCCACCAAGAACAAGCAGCGTTGCTGCTGCTGCTCTTCTGGGGCGCCCGAGCTGTCCGGGTGCTCCGTACTGCGGATGCACATCACCGTGGGCTGGAGCCACACAAGAAGCCCGCTTGGCCAGGGAGGGAGGGGAGCCCTGGCCCGTCCTGGCCGACAGCTCTCTCCCCTAGGAAGTGACTGCCAGGATCTCGTCTCCGTGTCTTTGGCATGCGCAAGCCACCAGAAACCAAAAGACCAGGTGGCCAGCGCACATGCGCACACCAGAAACTGGAAGATCATCTTCCCGGCAGGAACAGGTGCACTGGGCGACTGTTCTTTCGGTTTCTGCCACTCCTGGGTACGTGAAGACCTGGTGGCTGGCGTGCCGGAACCCAGTAGAGCAATAGGAGATGGCTTCACGTGCCCGGACAGATGGCACTGTGTGCCACTTGTGGCACACGTGCCATAGGCTCGTCATCACAGACTTAATAGATGATCATATGGGAGCATGAATTGCCTTGCCACTGATTTTTTTTTTCTGTTCAGGAACTTCAAGGAAAGGAAGACGATAAGATTTATCGAGGAATTAATAATTATCAAAAGTACGTAAAACCAAAAGATACATCCATGGGAAATGCTTCTTCAGGCATGGTAAGGTAAGGAGAAAATGCAATGTTCGTTCCAAGAAAAAGTATATGTAGTTAGCTACCTGAGGATGCATTTTATGGTATGGGAAAATTTGTCAGTTTAATTCATTTTTCTACCTAATTATTCTGTTTTCAGTTTAAAATAGACCATGGTATCTTATGAAGTCCTTTATTAACTTGATAGTTTACTTTTAACAGTTTTGTAATATTTGTAAAGAATGACCTTTACATTCTAAGAAGAAACTAGATATTTCCCGTTTTAAACACAAATGAGAATGTAAATCTCATTTGTAAAGATGAAACCAATGATTTCCTGAAAATGTTGCAGAAGGAGCAACCAACGTGACTTTCTAGTATGTTGACTCTGTTGTAAGATAGGAATTCTCATTTTTGTATGTGATGACCCTGCTATTCAAAAGTCAGTGTATCCCTTTGATAGAAAAAGTGAATCTAAGACCAATTATCCATCAAATCATTGTGGTCTTCCTCAAATCTTATTACTTTGGTGGCATTTGTGTATTGCTATAGGTGCAACCTTTTAGCATTTACAGTCATTTAATCTTTTCTTAAGTTTTTGTTGTTTATTTCAGGAAGGGACCAATCCGAGCCCCAGAACATCTCAGGGCCACTGTGAGGTGGGATTACCAGCCTGATATATGTAAAGACTACAAGGAAACTGGATTTTGTGGCTTTGGAGGTGAATGAATTATTTATATACTTTCTGATTGATTTGGAGTAGTTGACAGCAGAACAGAAATCGCTGACACCATTGTTAAGTGTCCTTTTTTCTTCCCTACAGATAGCTGCAAATTTCTGCATGACCGATCAGATTATAAACATGGGTGGCAAATTGAGCGGGAACTGGATGAGGGACGCTATGGACTTAATGGTATGAGCAATCCCCTTTCTTCCAGTATTCAGCAAATGTAACTGGTTGTAATGAAAATAATGTCTTTCAATTTCATATAGGATATGACAAATAGCAGGTGCAAGGTTGGGTGGAGTTGAATTGATCAAATATATATAGGAATGATCACGTTCTTGAAGAAAATTTTTTTTCCTTCTATTGAACACTGGTGTGTGTGTGTGTATGTAATTGTAGAGTTTGGATATGTGTGCAATGAGGACTGAAAGTTATATGTATGCATTCATATTAACACAGATTGAAAATGAAAACATTTGGAAGAATCTATGTAGGAAAGATATACATTTCTCTTGATTTAATAGGAACTTTAATAAAGATTTTAGGTTTTCAAACTAGTAATTAAATATAAATTTTGTAGCACAACTGCATAGCCATATTAGTATTTTCTGGCGTCTTGATGGATTATATGATGTTTTCAGACTATCCATTTTCAGATAATTTCAAGAGCTAGGGCCAGTTGTGAACTGTCTTTTTTTGCACATATGGGCTGCCTTGCCTTAGAACAGTTGGCTTACATGTGTATCTTGATAGCCTGTGATGGCAATAAAAAGTAAGTACATTCTCAGCAGAGGACAAATATGTATGTGCCTTCCTTCTTCATCTGAGAACTGTGGGAGGGAATAGAAGCAACTGTCTTGAGTGATTATTTTAGTAAAATTATTTTTATCCGACTTTTTAATGTTACCCCTTTTGGCAAGAACAACTTCCTACATGGAGTTGGTAGAAGATAAAACATATGTCATTGTTCTTAGCAGCACAATTTAGCAGGTACTTTTTCTTTTACATAGATGATGAAAATTATGAAGTAAGTAGTGATGAAGATGAACTGCCTTTCAAGTGTTTTATTTGCAGAAGCTCCTTCAAGAATCCTGTGGTAACCAAGTAAGATTATCTTTTTGTTAATGTTGACGTTTTTAAAGTGATCTATGATCTTTAATACTGCAGTTTTGAGACTGACAGGTTGTCAAATATCTATACAAACACATGTAAAAAATATCCTAGTATTTATAATTTACTGCTAATTTATAATATTGATGGCCCTAAAGAGATACTGATGCTGTTCTTAAGAAATGTCCATTTGAAGTGACTAAAATGTAAGATTTTATTGAAAATGAAGAAAAAAATAAAAATGCTAATTCTCTACTAGAAATTTGCAGCAATTGTCTTATGTTGTTTTAGGTGTAAACATTACTTTTGTGAAAACTGTGCCCTACAACATTATCGCAAGTCTCAGCGATGTTATGTTTGTGACAAACAGACTAATGGTGTCTTCAATCCAGCCAAAGGTATTTGGCCCATATTTCATTTTTAACTGGAGCCAATGGGGAGTGACTGAACTTGGTTGTATGACCTTTTTTATGTCAATTAAGAGAATGTACAGTCGTTAAGTGAACCTGTCAGAGAATTGCACAGCTAGTGTCCAAATGGAGTCAGACATGCTGAAATGAATCAGCTTTATGTAAATAAATATATTTACAGTAAATAAGAGGCAAACAGGAGCCTCAGGTAAAAATCAACACAGCAAGAACATAATGAGGTAAATCACACAGAGCACACACAGAAGAAAAAGGTGGGAAACAAAGAAATCCTCCCTTTTCATTCACAGCAACCAATCACAGCTCAGATTCCCTCATTCAGTGTCCAGCTGTCTTCAATCACTTAGCCATAACTGTATGTTCTTAGTCATTATCCAATTATTCACTGCTCCAGCGATTAAATTTTAAATATCTCAACAGAACCCATAGTTTTTGCCAAAACCTGGAAGTGGACACTGGTTTCTGTGGGGGGTGGTGGTGGTGTAAATCAGTCATGTGACTGCAGACACTGCAAAGAGCTGTAAATGTGGATGCCAAGCACCCAAAACACAATAACGTAACTGCAGGAGTGGCCAATGCTGGAAATTTGAAACTAGATCATTAGTATCTTTGGGGAGAGAAGTCTGTCATAACTTTGTACAGTGAGTAAGTGACAAGTTGTCAATGAAGAGGAACCTATACAAACAAAATATTCTCTAATGATAGACCTCAGATTGCATATTTTATGTATTTATATTTAACTTTTAAAAATGTATATGTGCTATATGAAAAACGTATTGACAAATATCTTTGGAAAAAACCTTCAGATTTCTCTATTTTTCAAAACATTTGTCCTTAATCATGACTAGAAATAAGTTTAGGAGCAGAAGGTTTGCATGTTGACATTTGCATGAGCACAAGGGATAGATCAGCAGGAGAGACCATCTGCATATTCCTTAAAATACCTCTGGTCACTGACTGTAATAAACGATTTGATATGATTTATCTCAGTCAAGACATGTATTAAAGATAACAGAGATATGCTATTTTCCATACTAGGATACAAGACAGTAAATAGTGGAATTAATTTTGACTCTTAAGTCATGGGTGTCCAGCCTATTGGTTTGCCTGGACAATATTGAGTGAAGAATTCTCTTGGGTTGCATATAAAATATATAGTTAATGCATATAAATCACATAATGTTAAAGGTTTATGATCTTATGAGGCCTTTACTAGCTGCATGCATCCCACAGGACAAACAGGCCTGGTCTAAGTAAAAAGTAGTGTATTTAGATGCGGTTCCAAATAATTGTTAAGTGAGGTAAATCAGCACTTTGGATTGCTATGTAGGGCCATCTCAATTTTCATAATATATTTTTGTTTTATAAGGAATATTTGCTTGAAAAGATCTTTAAAACATTTCCCCTCTTCTAGGGGAAGATTCATGATTAGTAAATGTATTTGAAAAAGGGGATTGGAAAATAGATAAGCTAGTCTTACTTAAATATCACCCATACTATTTTAAATGCACATTGTTCCTGAGCTTAAGAGAACTATAATTCAATATAACTCTAAGAAGATTAGAATTACATCTCCAAACCTATGGAAAGTCTGTCTAACTCATTCAGTCACTTATTTTCTCTGAGTAGGGAATTGTGTCACATACATAGAATTCAGTATGTTCCTCAGAATATAGAGGAAGGGTCTTGAATAATTTGTATGCATCATGTTATGAAGTATTCTTTTTTTGTCTTGGATTTTGTTTTACAGAATTGTTAACAAAACTGGAAAAGCATAAGGCTGAAGAAAGTCCCCTTGAAGATGCTGGAGAGCAAGATTAGCATTTTTTAATCATTTTCATGCCTTACATCGTCCAGAGAAATAATTTGATTGCAGAATAAATAATTTATAGAAAAACACCTTATTTTTCAGACTATAAGATGCTCCGAACTATAAGACGCACCTAGCTTTTGAGGAGGAAAACAAGAAAAAAAATCTGCCTCTGCCTCCCAGCAATTTGCCTCCTTGCAGCAAACAGCCTGGTCAGCTTCAGCACAGCCTGATTTAGCACGAGCAGCTGATTGGTGGTTGGATCTGACTCCTGGAATGCCCCCTATCAGCTGTTCCAGGCTATGGGGATTGCCACTGCCCATCGCTGCCGCCGCCTATCCCCGCCACCTGGAATGGGCCAAAAACGGGGCACACAGGCTGAAAATGGGGTGCATGGAGGTGGAGATAGGCGGCAGTGGTGATGGGCGGTGGCGATCCCCATAGCCTGGAACAACTGATAGGCAGTATTCTGGAAGGCAGAGCCAACCACAAATCAGCTGCTCATGCTAAATCAAGCTGTGCTGAAGCTGACCAGGCTGTTTGCTGCAAGGAGGCAAATTGCTGGGAGGCAGAGCACAGCAGGTGGGGGCTGGCAGGTGGATAGGGCTTCGGCAACATTCGTTGTATATGACACACATTTCCACCCACTTTTTTGGGGGGGAGGGGAGTGCATATTATACATCAAAAAAGATGGTAAATTGATCCATTGTGCTTCAACATACATTCCAAACAACTTTACAGACTAAGACATATTACAGATAGTAAAGAATATTATGAAAACAAAGCAATTCATTATTTTTTATTGCTTTAATGTATTGAAAAAGGGAAAAAACAAAAAATCAACAAGGAAAACAAAAAACTGTACAAAAACAACAGCTCAAAAACTTTATATTTCTGAAAGTTAAAGGAAATAGTTCTTCCTGTGTTCAAACAACTTCTATATTCTAAAAGAAAATAACTAGCAGAAATTAAATCAGCTGAACATCTCATCCAATTGGTCTTTTTAGGCATGGTATAAGAGTTCAAGACATTTCAGACAGTCCAAAGTATTTATCTTGTGATTGTAGTTTTGTTTTAAATCTGTTTTTTACTTGTTGGGCACTGTACTAATTTCAAACCCTGTAATAAATATTTCTACTATGTTACCTTTCAGGTTTCAATAGCAAAGATATTAATTGGGCTTGCTAGCCTGATTTAGAGGCTTTTTTTAATTAGAGGGAGTTCATAAAGGACAGCATTACTGAAGAACATTGTGAAAATGCAGAAATATTTTATTGGCAAGAAATACAGTTTAAGACAGTACTTACAATCTGCAAATGCTACAGCTTGCCAGAAAAGTTTTGGCTCAATGTTTGATTGAACAACAATGATTAAGCATATAGAAGAAGAATGAAAGATTACTACACAAGTTGGGACAATTCACTATAAGAAGGAATTCCAAATTACCTTGTTAGATACAAATTAAAGGTATCTTCATATTCTAACCCTATGTCAATAGGGTTACTTCCTGCTACTAAGCAATTCTAAGTAGATTTTTATTGGGTTTTTTTTTTAAAGTACATGGCACTCAGTTCCTTGGAACCACTGGCAAACCTACAAAAAGATTTTGGTTTCGTTAAAAAGCAATTGAGCATATATATTTTATGTCTTAGAACCAAAGTTCAATACAATATTGTTAATTTTTTCCTCTCAAAGCCCAGGCTTTATTTTAATGCAAATGTCAGGTAGAACAACTTCCCAAGAAAGAAACTGCAGTGTAATGAGCAGATTGCTTTGTAAAAAATATTTCACAATGTTCTTCTAATGGTTACCTAGAATTCCCAATCATCCATCTCAAGCTGCTCCATATTGGAAGCCAATCCAAATATATGGCTAGGATCTTGTGTCTGCATCCCTTCAAAACTTGTAATTGGCATGACAGGATATAGCAGTTCAGGAAGTGCTTCAGATGCCCGATGTTTGATCTGAAAAATGGGGAAGTAAAAAACATACTTAAGTACTAGAATTAAAAAATGTGATTAGATGCAATTTGACTCAGTCCAAGATTATATATAACTCCACCACACAGTGTCACTTTTTATATATAGGTAGTCCTTGACTTGTAAATGTACAATTGAGCCCAGAAACTTGGTTAAGCAAAAAACATTAAGCTGGACATCACATGAGTGCCTACATGATTGCTTTGCTCAACAACTACAATCCTGTCATTCCTGGTTAATGGTCATTAAGCAATCCTACAGCTTGTGAATTGGACGGAGTCCCAGGTACGGAACATGGGATGCCTTGGATGGGTGAGACCCTGAGAAGTGCTAACCAGGAGCTGAAAATCCCCCCCCCCCGAAATCCAAACTTTTCAGCCCCTGAGCAAAGAGCCATTTGTGCATAGTCTGCACTGAGGTTCCCCCACCTGCCCAAGGCACCTTTACCACACCATCTTTCCACTGCTTGTATTTCAGCTGACGTTTATCAGAGCTGGCTACCAAAGGATGCACGGAAGGAAATGTCTAGTGGAATGCAGGAACAGAACTTGGATCCTGAAGATCTGATCTCTCACCAAAGGAGGTCAGTTCCTCTTGGGTGTGGAAGTAAGTCCTTCAGTGTGGTAGAGAAACTTCAGATCATCAGGATTTCAGCTCTATTTCTCAGAAGGCATTCAACTCCTCTTGGCAGACAGCTCTTTCAGCCAACCCCAACAGGTGAGAAGGAATTTTCTTGGCAAGCAGCAACAGTTTGCAATCTTCCCTGCCAGCTGCTTCTCCATTGATTTAAGGTTGTAAGTGCAAACAAACTGACAAGCACCCTCATTGCAATCACATAAACTCTGGAGGGGGGAGAGCTGTGACATTTTATACAAAATATCTTACTTCTTGATAGAGACTACATTCGAATATTATATGCGCCGTGTCCTCCACGACGTTTACCCCACATATGCATATTCTTTTGTCATACGGGATTTTCCGATAACGGCCGAATCTAACATTGGTATCTAGAAGTTCGAATCTAAACTTAACAAATAACTGTCTCTCCACTGATGGCATTTCTAAATGTAAATACTTTTCCAGAGTGAAAGTTGTTTTAACTGCTGTCAGCAGTTCAAGGGAATGATTAGTTGAAAGGGTTGCCATGTCCATTTGCCCATGTATATCTTTAATCCGTTGTTTAACTTGGTTCAGTGTGTCACACAACGGGAACCCTACGCCATATCGGTTCAATATTTCTGACAGCCGGGTTAGCCAGGAATACCTTTGAGGATTTGGAATCTGCTGTTCCTCTAGACATATTTTAGGGAGTCTGCTGGCATCCAGAAGTAAGAAAACAATATCTGTCCCCAATTATAAATAAATTTCCCCACTGGAATATAAGCCAAAAATTAGCATTTCTGTTGAGGGCTGACTCTCCTCCCCTGGTAAGAGCGATCACTCGATACCTTAAAAGAATGACGGCAATACGAGCCAGTTATATCAAAAAAATTTTTATCGATTGTAAGGAAGATGAGCTCAGTTAGAGAGGAGCTATCTTATTTGGGTTATCTAGTCTTGGCAACTTAACTATTGACATTTGATATTGTAAAATTTTAATGTCATCTATCATATATTTTTAGATTGCTATTTTTGTAACTGTTTTATCTTTTTCCCTTTTTCTTTTCTGTTTGTTTGCAAAGGCCTTTGGGCTATTCAATAAACTATACTATATAAAATATCCTTTCCAAGACCATCAAGGATTGTATCTGGGTGTTTTTTGCACATACAGGAATAGGAAATAATTTAGCATCCTAATTATGTTGATAATCATTGAATAAATTACACAGAATTTTATCTCATCCTCTCATAACTACTGAAAAAAATAGAGCAGAGTTCTTGGTTTCATCTTTTCTTGATGAATTCTTTTGGTAGCATACTCTTGCTGAAAATGCTGGATTACATCAGAGGTTCGTACTAAACAACAGGTTGCTGAACCCCAAAGGCACTTTAGCTCTTGTAAATTCTGCAAAACTTTTGTGGATTGTGTACAGTCAGATAGAATGAAACCTTTTTGATTGTTGGGAGCTTGGGTTGAGAAGAAAATCTGCAAAGACTTTGGGAAGGGATGAAAGGATGGCATACTACTTTTTACTCTTCTGTACACCCTGCCATTCTTCCCAGTGCTTTCTTTACCTCCCCTTGTGAAGTCAAGGACTTCACTGGTGGTCGCTAAGGGGAAACACTATTCCTGAAAGAGCAGAGAGAAATGGGCCAATTGGATATGTTACACCTGAAACCAAGGACATGAGTAACAGTAACTATCCAACCAGCCTATCCTCTTGCTTAGACCTTTCCTAACACCTTCTTCCTGTTAGTCTTTCCTCAAAACCATTTCTGAGAGGAAGAGGCATGACTGGTCCTTGTCTCAAGTAGAACATAAATATTTCAATCCAGATACAGGTCATTAGAAACCAGCTTTTCTGTATTGGAATGTAAAATTTTAAAAGACTAAACTTAGCTACTATCTCCATCCCCTACAGAAAGTCAGCAGACAATAAGGACTTGATGATGGAAATTCCAAAATTCTGGATCTCCAAAATATTTGCATTTTTACAAATGTGATTCTGCAAGAACATAATTCTTATTTTAAAATTCTCTTATCTGGATCTTTCTGCCTATTGCCCCAAATCAGCAAAAGCTGACTTCCAACAACAGATATCTGTCCCATAACACACCTGACATCACAACATCATGATTGAATTGCCAAAATCATACTGGAAGCTTTGCCAGAGGTTTAGGTTCAAATACAGCAAAAATTACTGGGAACACCAAACTGACAAAATTCTTGAAAATGAACAGATCGAGATCTTGTAGGAATCCAAACAGACAAGACATTTGACCCACAACATGCCTGACATTACTATTGTGGAAAAGAAAAAAGTCTGGTTCATTGATATTGCAATATCAGGTGATGCACAAATTGAAGAGAAACAACTACTGGTAGAGAAAATAACGAAATACCATAATCTGTAAATTGAAGTTGACCGATTGTGGAGGAAGAAATCAATGGTTGTACCAATAGTAATAGGACCCCTTGGAGCAATACCCAAAAGTCTGCCTAGATACAT